ATTCCAGCACTTTGGAAGGCCGAGGTGGGCAGATCGCGAGGTCAGGAGTTCAAGACCAGTCTGGCCAATATAGTGAAACCCCATCTCAATTAAAAATACAAAAAATTAGCTGGGTGTGATGGTGTGTGCCTGTAATCCCAGCTACTCAGGAGGCTGAGGCAGGAGAATCGTGTGAACCCAGGAGGCGGAGGTTGCAGTGAGCCAAGATCTCGCCATTGCACACCAGCCCAGGCAACGGTGAAAGACTCCGTCTCAAAAAAAAAAAATTGTTTTTTTTTTTTAGATAGAGTCTTGCTCTGTCTCGGCTCACTGCAACCTCTGCCTCCCAAGTTCAAGCGATTTTCCTGTCTCAGCCTCCTGAGTAGCTGGGACTACAGGTGCGTGCTATCGTACTCAGCTAATTTGTGTATTTTTAGTAGAGATGGGGTTCCCTGTGTTGGTCAGGCTGGTCTCGAACTCCTGACTTCAGGTAATCCATCTGCCTCAGCCTCCCAAAATGCTGGGATTACACGCATGAGCCACTATGCCCAGCAGACTCGCATGTATCTTTATGGTAGAACAATTTATATTCCTTTGGGCATACACCCAGTAGTGGGACTGTGGAGTTGAATGGCAGTTCTGGTATTTAAGCTCTTTGAGGAATCACCACACTGCTTTCCACAATGGTCGAACTAATTTACACTCGCATCAACAGTATATGTGCGTTCCCTTTTCTCCACCTCGCCAACATTTTTTTTTTTTTTTTTTTTCATACAGAGTCTTGCTCTGTCACCCAGGCTGCAGTGCAGTGGCATAATCACAGCTCACTGCAACCTCTGCCTTCCTGGCTCAAGTAATTCTCCCAAATGGCTGGGACTATGGGTGCATGCCACCACACCCAGCTAATTTTTGTATTTTCTGTAGAGAGGGGTCTCACATGTTACCCAGGCTGGTCTCAAACTCCTGGGCTCAAACCATTCACCAGCTTCAGACTCCTAAAGTGCTGAGATTACAGGCCTGAGTCACTGCACATGGCTATTTTATTTTTTGGCTTTTTAATAATAGCTATTCTGACTGGTGCGAGATGGTATCTTACTGTGTTTTTGATTTGCATTTCTCTAGTGATATTGAGCTTTTTAAAAATATGCTGTTTTTGGCCGCATTTATGTCATCTTTTGAAAAGTGTCTGTTCATGTCCTTTGCCCACCTTTTAATGTGTGTGTGTGTGTGTTTTACTTGTAAATTTGCTTAGGATCCTTATAGATGCTAGATTTTAGAGCTTTGTCAAATACATAGTTTGCAAATATTTTCTCCCATTCTGTAGATTGTCTGTTTACTACTCTGTGGACATTTTCTTTTGCTGCCTGCTGATGTCTTAACATGGCAAGCCCTAGGATAATTGGAAATAAAGCAGAAGGCAAGTACAGTATTAGAACACACTCAGGCTGGGTGTGGGGGCTCACTCCTCTAATCCCAGCACTTTGGGAGGCTGAGGTGGGCAGATCACCTGAGGTCAGGAGTTTGAGACCAGCCTAGCCAACATGGTGAAACCCCATCTCTACTAAAAACAAAAATTAGCTGGGCATGTGGTGCACGCCTATAATCCCAGTTACCTGGGAGGCTAAGCCAGGAGAATTGCTTGAATCTGGGAGGCAGAGGTCACGCCACTGCACTCCAACCTGAGCGACGAGAACAAAACTCTGACTAAAAATTAAAAAAAAAAAAAAAAAAAAGGCACATTGAGAATGTGCAGTAACCTTAAGTGCAAGAAAGTCCTTGGTATAATTGAATGCCTTCTTCAATGCAACAGAATCTGGCTCTCATTACCAGATGCAACTCCCAGTATTTTCACTAGGTGGCAGAAAAGGCTAGATAATAGCTGGGGTTCTCAACCTTGGAGGGCCTCACAAATACCTGTAGGCCTCCAGCCCCAAAGTTTGATTCATTAGGTCTGGGTGTGGCCTGATAATTAGCATTCCTAACAAGTTTCCAGGTGATGCTGATGTGCTGGAAGGAAAGTACATTTTGTGAACTCTGAAACAGAAAGTCAATGTAGACCAACCCAAGGCCCATTCTCCCATCCATCCATCCATGTCTCTCTTCCTTCCTTCCTTCCTCCAGTTTACTTTGTAGTTCTAGGTGATAAGCACTGAGAAGAATGAGACGTGATTCTTGTTCTCAAGACATAGTTGGGTAAGGGAGAAAAAGGAAAACGAAAAAAATAACTCTATTACTTCCACTTCTCCATTTTTTCCAACACACAGTCTTCCTAAGTGTTCATTTGTGTTTCTGTTCTGTCAAATGAGTTTAAGCCTTGTGCCCTTAAAGCTTGAATGATCAACTAGCACAAGAGCTGCCTTACATGGCTAAATCTGCTGAACTAACAATCTCAGGAATGTGTTTGCTATCCTATGAAAACTTTCAGATGGAAAATCTCCTCTCTGAACTTACAGAGGCTGGAGATATAAAAGCACATCTGACACCCCCACGTCTGCATTAATGAGTAAAAAGAAAACACCAGGATTACTACGTTGTTAGAATCTGTGCTTAGTTGCTTTCCAAAATGAATTCCTCATTTTAAACTTCAATACATATTATAGTTTATTTTGGGGAAAAACCTTTTGACTCATGTCCTTTAAATAGTATTGCTGACTAGCTCTAATCTTTGGTACTGAGTCTTACTAGATCTACTGTTTGCATAACTTGTGACGTATCATATAAACCAATAATATGTAAAGAGATTGTGTATAGTTTACTTGATACAAATTCTTTTTGTGTAATGAAAGAACACTTCAATGCATGCCTTGGGTTGAACTATTATTTCTAAATCAGTGATAACTAGATTAGTGAAATTTTATTTATAACCATAATTTATCTCAACCAATGTTTTCACAAGTATTTGAAAGTGTAATGAAAATAAATGGGTAAAAGATGCAGACAGAATTCAAGAGATACAAATAAGCACACATAAAAATATGTCATTTTCTCTCTAGTTCCCCCCCATAAAAACATTGTCATGTGTTAAAGAAATGTCAGTTACAGCAACTTGAGATACTTCCTTTACATCTATTAAATTGGCAAACACATTTAGAAATGTTCTTTCTTGACTTGGGTTAGACAAGTGTTCACTTCATGACTATTTGACAAAACTGTGTTTTGTGCACACTTCTGTACCTGTAACAGAAGACGTTGGGAAACATTTTCACCGCTTTTGCAAGTAAGTCTTTCACTGGAACTTGTTCTAAGGAAATATGCACAAAGAAGTTCTCTGTAGTATTTTCTAAAATGAAGAATTGGAAACTACCAAATCATCTACCAAAACAGAAATGGTTTAGCAAATTACAGTAACGAAGGAAAATTACAAAATATTATGGTAGTTGTAGAGACCTAAAGCACATTTTTGATAGCATATTACAAAACAATGATTTGCCATCACATAAACCTATATACATATGCATAAGGATTAGAAGAGAGTACTATTAAAAATCATAAAGGAGCTCTGGGTAATTTTCTCCATAAATTTTTTATTACTCTTAGATTATCTTTACCACAGAGAGCACAGAACATGTGATTAAAATGCAAAGGACAGGAACATCCCACTGGCAAGGACTACTCATGTCTAATCACAGTGTGATCATTAAATATTCTGTCCAAATGTACTCAGAACACTTGGGATGTTTACAGAATATGGCAGAAGAAGGAAATCTAAGAGAGGAAGAGCTGTGTGGAATTGATCTTTTATTTTGCTTCTTTTATTTTCAATTTTAGATGCTCTGGAAGTTATTTTTTCTTCCAAGTTTAGATCGATCTTAAGACAATCCATGGAATTTATTAAAATCTCACTGAGTTCCTACTCTCAATCTTACAATGTTGCTGGGGAAACAAGGTATTCACCTGTATTCTGAAAAAAAAATTGAGAATCAAGGATGAAAGTTAATAGTTTGTCTACTGCAAAAGATATGTTATTTATTGCTAAATGAACTGCACCACCAACCTCAGGCAAAAATGCTCAGTGAGGCTGGAGCCGGGTATGGTGGTCAGCAGAGGCTTTCAAGATAGTGGGAGGTCAATGGGATCTAAAGCCTGGCCCGGGGACTGGTGGAAAAGAACATGAAGAAGTTTCCATGAGGATGGGAGATTAATACCCGAAGTGCAAGGGTGGGAATAAAGAAAAAAACAAGAACTGTTTGCTCGAAGAGATTATCTAGGGCTCCATTAAGTTAAGGAATCTAGATGTGCCCTGTTGGTAACAGGGAGTTACCAAGGTTGAACAAGAGCAAGTGCTCAAAGAAGTGGTTGGGAGACTCTCTGGAAGCAGAGGATAAGACAGGTTAAATGCTGCACACAGCTGGTGAAGGGAGTAGGCAAGAGTCCAGGTTAGAAGAGACTCAAAATATGGAAAGAATAGACAAGGAAACATGAAAACGTGGGAAAAAAATCCAGGTCTGTGGAGGATGAAAATCAGGGCTTCAGCCTTACCACTTACTATAACTCCTCTAGGCAATGAATCACTTTACCAAGCCACAGCTTTCTCATCTGTAAAACAAATGACAATCTGCCCTTAGTGATACTGTCAGAGGATCAAAGGGGCAGGGCCATGGTAAGCAAATGACAAACAGCACTGTAAGTTTAAGTTAGGAAGAAGGAACTCATGCAATGACATGTTGGATAGACACATCTTTGGGCAAAAGAGAGGAAGACAATTCCAAGGTCTGGAACCTGCAAAATGGGACTTTTACCCACCCCACCCCCTCATTTGCAACTGTTCATGAAATTCAACAAAATTATTTCCCTGCATTTTAAGTTTAATGATTTGCTTTTTGGATCACCTTCAGAAATGGTTATACTGAGTTTACTTTCTAGAAGATGCAGAAACAGTAAAAGAACAGAGCCACTTCAGATCACTCAAGGGGCTGTTCCATTTCCAAAACACACTGACTTTTGAAAAGTTCCTGAATTGGTTGGGTAAAATGTCTGAAGTGGTGGGGGGAAAAGCAAAACAAAGTCTTAACTACAGAATATATTTTTAAGGAAATGCAGCTTTATTACTTTCAAGTATAAACAACTTCGGCTTGGCTAACCAAATTCGCCTAATTGAGGGCATCTGCTTTAATGTACAGATGTAAATGATTTATAGTTAGCACAATCACTCACTGGTAAAGACTGCTTCTATGATGCAAGAAAATAACTTCGCATCTTAGAGACATCTTGTTCCATAATCACTCCACTATTTGCTAAGCAATCCCTTCTTACCCCTACCCACACAGTTCAAATATAAACTTTATCTCACTTCCTCTAAATCACAACATACATCAAATTAGTGAAACATGAGTTGATTACTTTTCCCACATTGCTACAGATGTTGGATTGGTGACAGAACTATCTTTTCAACCTGAGCATTCTCATCAAGTATACTAAGTCTAAATCAGTGAAATCTGTCTGTTTCACAATCTGAGTACAAAGACACCAAAACATTATGAGCTTTTATGATCTGAATTAGTAATTTTCCAGGGCTGAATATTAAGAACACATATTTACTTGGGCATATTTATGAAGAGCAAAAGCAGCTGAATTCTTTAGGCTACAATAATTAAGTGGGTTTACACTGGTCAGGATTGAATTACTAAATTTAAACAACTGAACTGTTCTGGGAAAGACTGGAAACACTGACACATCCTGACAGCTAAACAGCTTTCTGCACTGAGCATGACCATTCAGTCTGATTAGGCTGATGGGAATGGTGCAAAGACTACTCAGGAATCCATCTGAGGATTTATTCTGAAAAACTTCCACTTTCCTAGAGCAGGCACAGGGGGAACCTTTGATTAGAGACACTGCCAAAGATGGCTAATGGGTATTTTGTCAAAAATAACGAATCTGTTCTTTTCATCAGATACTCTGAATGCTGCATAATTCTCAAGAGTGCCTTAGTTGCCTTAAACCAAGCAAAAGCACCAGCATAACCAAGTAGGAAGGCTGTGTCAAGGAGACAGACCTAAAGGGCTTCTCCCCTATCCTGACAAGTGTGTCCAAAGGCAAAGGTGACAAAACTGCATCATAAGTAGCAATCTATGCTACTTGCTTCCCTAAGAGAAAGGCAAGTGGCTTCAGACACCAAGGCCCAGAGGAGGAGGTGCAGAAAGCTATAAAAGTGATGTTGGGGCCAGGCGCGGTTTCTCACGCCTGTAATCCCAGCACTTTGGGAGACCAAGGCAGGCGGATCACGAGATCAAGACCATCCTGGCCAACATGGTGAACCTCTGTTTCTACTAAAAATACAAAAATTAGCTGGGCATGGTGACACACACCTGCAGTCCCAGCTACTTGGGAGGCTGAGGCAGGAGAATCGCTTGAACCCTGGAGGCAGAGCTCAAGACTGTGCTACTGCACTACAGGCTGGCGACAGAGTGAGACTCGTCTCAAAAAAAGAAAAGCAATGCTGGTAGGATTCACCTCTAGGCAACCTGCAAGCCACACAGTAAGGACCTCAAGTTGCCAGCTGTGTTTGGTCAAAGAAATGTGTAAAGCCAGGATCCACTATCCTATGCTGATTCTGTTAGAACAAAATGCCTAACCTAATAGAAACAATTTCTTCATGTCTAAAATAAATACTGTTTCCAAAAGTATTTCCTGTTTTACAAATGGAAGGCAGTAATCATTTTCCTATGAACAAACACTAGAATGATATAAATCCTCAAACTTCACCAAGTGCTTTCAACAGCCAGAACAGAGTGATTTTTAAACTATGAAAAATGAATTGCAAACTTTACAATTTAATAGCAATGTTCCCCATGTTTCACTCATGAGCAGATATCCAACTGCATGCATTTCCTGCAGAACTTCCAAGTCCAGTCCTTGGAAGGATTTTCTTCCTATTTCTCCAATAGGTCTAAAATGTCAGGTTAGAGTCAGATTTGGCAATGTGGATTACTTCAAAGCGGGAGGAAACCATTCCTTTGGAATGATGACAAAATCTACTAGAAACTTCACACATCCACTCAGCTCTCCTGGATCCCTGTCCACATCACGAGGCCTAAAGTTGTTACGGTAGCCTTTACAAACCTGAGAGGCCCCTTGCTTCCACACCACAGTGTCACCAAGAAATCAGATCTCATAAGAATCGATGGGGCTTACCTTCTCATGACAGAATTTTTCCGAAATGAGAATATTCACAAAAGAGGGAAAGGCAATTCCCTCACTTTTGCACTAAGGAAGCCAAAGGTCGGTGTGTGCAATGAGAGTAAGGAATAGCTTTAGTTATTCCCTACCCACTTCTTACTCTAACTTCCCATTTTGCTTTCTTTTGCAAAAAGGATGAGCTAGTTTACCATTTTTATAAAAACTGGCAATAGTATGAATAAATCCAGCATCTATACAGCAGTTAAGTAAAATCTCAGGCCAAATAAAGGCCTCTGTGGGGAAGACTTGACATTAGGACTCTAATTACTGCCTGAAGAACTGCTGTCAAAATCCAGCTGCATGATCATGCCACTGCACTCCAGCCTGGATGACAGAGCAAGACTGCCTAGGGGGAAAAAAAATTCCAGAGACATCAAGTACCACCTTGATGACTTCTGTATTCACCACTAAAAACTGAAATAGAACATATCATACAAGCCTCAAGTCAGGCAGTTTTATAAAACTTTTCCCACAAGTAAGCTATAGGACAGATCTTAAAAAGTGAGGTGGGGTGGAGACAGTCATTAGATCAGTAATCTCAGTTACCTGTTCAGGCTTGATTACAAAGTAAAAAGTCATTTACCCTCATCATTGCCCAAAGTGTCCTGGGGCTTCTGAAAAATAGATTCAGCTGTGATTCTAGTTCTATTTCTAGAAGGACTAAGCAGAGCTCATGTACAGAACTCAATGCAAGATGGATTAAACTCAGATTTCGTGGGATAGAGAAAGATAGTCTTCTTTTGCTTAAACCCCACAAAGTGTCAACATGGATATTAATGATACTTGTCCTTGAAATTCACCAGTAATTTCTATTAACTTCACAGCACCCAGAGGTCCAGTCTGGCTTTATGCTAATGCAGATTCTGGAAAAGATAGGTCCCCACTCTAGAGCTTACATCATTCTCAGCTCTGCTGGCAACCCTTTTTCCCACGTGTAAAATGGATATGCTTTAAACTAGAGTCAGCAAGAAGGAATAACTCATGTTCCCAGACATAAGCTTTCACTGAGGTTCCAATTCGCATGTTCATCTTCAAACTACCTTCCTGTTGGTCTGTGAATGAAATACAAGGGGAGACAGCTGAAGAATGGCTGAGATTCTTCTACTGCTTGCTCCCTCTACTCTCTCCCTGATTGTGACCACTAACAAACATTTCCACTGCTGAAGCACAAAATTACCTAACTGTAGAGAGGGAGGGGGACACATACTGGCAGCCCAGGGACAGGTTTTATTTGGCTCACCTTATTTTAAATTATCTTTAATCAGTTGTTACATTTTAAATATCCAGGATTTCAAATAAAAATCTGGCTTTCTAGCTCCTCCTGAAACAATCTGAAGACCTGCCAACATCAGGCTTATTTCTTCTAATGATAAAACAGAGTTGAATAACTGCCCTATTAGATAAACTTTCCAGAAGACAGCACAATCCTTCCCAGAACGTTTTACTCATTTATGTTACCTGCATGGCTCTCTTAGACAACTGAATTTGTGAACCCTAATCTAGGACAATTCCCTCATTTAAAAGAGGAAGAAAATGATGGTCTTAGAAGAGAAAGTTAACCTGCCTAAGGCCACAGATTAAGTTAGAGGTAAAGGAGGAAGTTAAGTTGGGTTCAGGTATCCTTCTAACATAGCACACTGTGTTTCTCCTTAAACCATGACTTCTATCAGCATTTCTTCAACCAATTACTTAAACTGTCTAAGTGGAATCAGGTACATTTCCCTTTTCCTCATCCTTTTCATATCATTGATGTTCTTATAGAAAACTTGGTATCAGTGATTTCATTTAAATATTATCTCCAACCTGAAAGAAACCACAAATCAGAGATCAGACAAAAACACATTATCAACCTTTGCACATTTCAGTAGATGGAAGACCAGAAAGAATCTTATAAATCACTGAGCTTAATACCTGGCTGTACAGACAAGGAAGGTGGTACCCAGAGAGGTTACAGAGTTCCTGGGTAACAGGGCGGGTCTCTAATCTTCCAGCTCAGTGCTCTTTCTGCTATACCAGGGCACCACTGTGCCGTCATCCAGGCTGTTGGGGACTAGCTTCCCTGACATGGAAGCAAAGACTACAGAACCCTCTCACATCTTAAATATGGCCAACCTCGACTCTGCCAAGATCTAAGGTTTAGAATGAGTTGCTGACAATCAGTTTATACAATTGGATTTGCACTGGAAGACAGACTTTCTTTAGAACTGGTATTTGGTGGAAGTTTTAACACTGGCTCTTATAAAAGCTAAGCCCCATGTGAGAAAAGTTGCTGTAACAACATCATAGCACCTTTGCTTCAACTTCAAAAGAAAAAAAGGCAAAAAGCTTTAATAACAGACAATGTGACTTCACAGGCAACCAATTAGCAGATTAACAAATCATTTAACTTTCTTTACTTAAAACCAATACTCAAGAAAGATGAACCCAAAATGCATCCTCTTACACTGACCAACATAACTAAGTACAAATGAAGTCAATGGTGTACCCCATTAGCATGCTGCATTGTATGTCAATAAAACAAGCCCTCCCCCACCCCGAGCCCTGGCCCCTGGCAAACATAGATAAATGATTGTGCACTGCGTGATGATACCATTAGGTGAGAACTTTGGTTCATGCAGTCGGCTGCCCCAGAGGTTGCACCCAAAACCTGCAGCCCTGGCACCCAAAGTCAGTCAGCAGTGGTGGCTCATGGTGTCAGCCGTGCTCCTTCCACAACACCAAGTGAATACTGTGGTCAGGCATGCTGGTGGCAAAGACCAAGCCCGTGTCATTGTGCCCATCCAGTCCATTCAGCCAGGATGCTTCGCCTGCCAGGAAGCTTGAGCCTCTCTTTGATTTCCTGTACTCTGGCAGAGGCCAGCGACTAATCAGGCTCTCTGTCCGCAAGTCCATGATGTACAGGTATCGGTTGTCAAACAGCAGAGCAAAGATATCTCCAAAGCCAAGCAAGGCCAAGTTTGCTATCTCAGGAGTCTTGATGACCCTACAAGGATAAGAGTTAGGGACTGTGAAAGAAGGCAACTGTGCTTCTGTTTATGCTACTGTAATCTTTCCTGGACCCATTTAAAAGCAATATAAAATTCAAGCAAATTTTAGTTAAATGTTTTTGATAAAAAGTAAAACATAAGGAGAAAAAGCTCAGCCCAGTTGTAAAAAACCGGGGTGGAGGGCTTCAGTCATCATATATCACTGGCATGTAAGGGAAAGGTGGTGTTTGATGAAAGTCTTTTTGTTTTTTTTTTTGCTTGTTTGTTTTGAGACAGCGTCTCACTCTGTCACTCACACTAGAGTGCAGTGGTGCGATCTCAGCTCACTGCAACCTCTGCATCCCAGGTTCAAACGATTTTCCTGCCTCAGCCTCCCTAGTAGCTGGGATTACAGACGCTCCTGCTAATCAGTACTTTGTTAAGTACTTCTGCTGCTTCCCAATGCATGCCAAAATGCCTGACACAAAAGTAGGTGCTCAATAAATATCTAAAGAATAAAGTAATGGTGAAATGAACAGAGGCAAATGCAAATTCCTACAAAGGAAATCTAAAGGAGGCTAGGAAGCCCAGCACAGTGGCTCATGCCAGTAATCCCAGCATTTTGGGAAGACAAGGCGGGTGGATCACTTGAGGTCAGGAGTTTGAGAACAGCCTGGCCAACAGGATAAAACCTCATTTCTACTAAAAATACAAAAAATTAGCTGGGCGTTGTGGCAGGTACCTGTAATTCCAGCTGCTCGGGAGGCTGAGGCAGGAGAATCGCTTGAACCCAGGAGGTAGAGGTTGCAGTGAACTGATATCACACCACTGCACTCCAGCTTGGGTGACAGAGTAAGACTCTGTCTCAAAAAAAATTAAATTAAATTAAAATTAAAATTAAGGAGGCTAGGAAAAACAGCTAGAAAGTCTGGTAGGTCCCATATCATCAACGTAAAGCAGGGTATAAACAGAAAACACAAAAAGTAGATGGCTACAGGGACAGGGCTTAAGATCTGTGAAGATCAGCTGATTCCAAAGACTGAAACACAAATATGTTGCAGAATAGAGCACAAGTCTTGACAGGTTTGTGGCTTTCATTTTGATCACTTTAGAACTGTAAACAGACATCCCTGCTGTGCAGAGTCTGGGTCCTTGAACATAAGTAACCTTATATGATGCAGAAATAACCTAACTCAAGCAATCTACATCATATCTCGGACTTACTGAGTAACATGCTGTTATCTATGCTTTGCTTCTTTTCAATTAGCTTCAAAGCTAAGTAGCCCTACCTGGTCCTAGCAATTGAGGCCAGAGGATTTGTAGTTAGTTTCAAAAGAGGTTGGTTTATTTGTGTTTAGAAGGAAAAAAGCAGACACAAGACAGACTCTTTTCAGAGAAAAATCTGAAACCGGCAATTCCTACCAGCAAACAGTCTTACAGGTTTATTACTTGAAGCTATTATTCAAACACTAAAAACTAACAAAACTTTCATCTAGGACTCTAGGATATCTACATGCCACTATGAGTCAGAAGCATACATAAGAAAGCAGATGTGGGACCAAATTGAAACCTTTAGAGACACTAAGCATTAAAATAACTATGACATCTCTATCCCACCTTGCCTTGGCACCTTCCCTCCTAAAATTTTAATTCAAAATAAAAACAATATTATAGATGTGATTTTCCCATAGTAATTGAATATTTTGCTTTGCAAAATATCACATTCTTTCAAAACTCTCTTTTCCCGTTTTTGGTGTCCCTAGCTTTCTAGTACCATAAGTATATATGCCTATTGGATAATCCAGCCATGCATGGATGGAGAAATGTTGGAATATGATGGGCGAGAGGTGGAATGCTGGGCAAGGCCCTTATCCTGTCTCAGCTCAGTTCCCCCAGCCACAAGAGGAAAAGCTTATGAAATGGAATGGTTTCAGTCTTTTTCCTCAAAGCATAAATATCAAACATTTCTATAACTAATTCTGACAGCTCTGAAACCTAAATGATTAGAAATGTTGGTCTGACCCCAGGAAGACATAAATGGGGTTGCACCTTTGTGACCAGACAGACGAGGCCCACCAAAGTTTGTGGTTACTGTAATCAGACCTCACACAAGCTGACCTCAAATAATCACGCATAAAAACAATGAATAGAATGTTCAATTTTCTGTACTCCTCCAAGTCAGCATTTCCTGAACCATGCTATGGAATGCTAACTTTGTGAGTTGTTATTAATAATAGGTGTGTGTACAACAGGGTAAAACAAATTCAAACAGGTTTCTTTATACGGGGCCTTTCAGACTTATTATTAATCAAGATCTGCCAGGTGGTGTCAAATTGCGCCACTGCACTCCAGCATTTAAGTCACTTTATAGATGATGACATTGAGCTATAGATTAGTTTAAAAACTTAAACAACATAACACAGCCCATAAGAGATGGCACCACATCTTAATCTGAGGCTTGTCTATCACCAAAGTTCTCTTAATTACCACATGGCACACTGGCTTCCATCAGCCTCAAATATGCTAATAGATACTGTCAATCTCCAAGAGGATTTTAAACTATACAGTGAATCCCAAAATTATTTGTCTATAGACTGCTGCTGCTTCTTATTTCTTTGGAGAGAAACCCTGCAAGTTATATTTTTCTCTAAGTATCTCTGTCTTTTTACTAGTCAACATAAGGTCATTCGATCCCTAGATACCAATAAAGTTTACCAAGTTTGTAAAACAATGCATAATTTCAACTGAATATGAAGCAGAACTTAAAATACTAGAACTGAAGGAGATCTTTAAGATCTTTTCATCCAAGCCAAGCAGGGGACATTCCAGTATATGACTTTTTCATTTGCTTACTTCCTCTAAAATATTTTTCCTGTGTGAGATGTTCAGTATATATAACCCTGTTTACAAGTGATGTAGTAAACATTTGCTAAAAACAAGCTACAGACCAGTACATCCAAACATTTAGTCTTGTCTTTACTACTGAACTGCAGCAGACTTTCAAAGGTAAAGCGTGAGGTCGAAGAAACATTACCTTAGAATATCGTAACTGGCAAAGTCCCACTGGTACAGACCAAGTGCTGAACTACAGACAATGTATTTGCCATCAAAATGAAGTCTTGGCTGCAGGCAAATACTTCTATCCTCAGAGACAGACAATGTCTTTAAGCACTTGCAGTTGATTTCTCTCCCAATTGGCCAAATCTACAGAAAAAAGAAAATGAGGAAAGATGAGAGATCACATCACTACAGAAAAGCTTGTCCTTAAAATGGTCTGCATATGCTGAAGTCAGACAGAAAGCGAAGTATACTGGGAAGACCACAGGTTTTATAGCCAAGAATCACAGGTTCAAGTCTTAATTCTCCTGTGCAATCTTGGGTAAATTATTTAATTTTTCTTAACCTCAGTTCTTGCAATAAAGATAATACCTATCACATGGGACAGTTTAAAACATGCAATAATGGGCTAGGTGCGGTGGCTCACGCCTGTAATCCCAGCACTTTGGGAGGCTGAGGCAGGTGGATCACCTGAGGTCAGGAGTTCAAGACCAGCTTGACTAACATAGTGAAACCCCATCTCTACCAAAAATATAAAATTCAGCCAGGCGTGGTAGCACAAGCCTATAATCCCAGTTACTTGACAGGCTGAGGCAGGAGACTCTCTTGAACCTGGGAGACAGAGGTTGCAGTGAGCTGGTATTATGCCACTGCACTCCAGCCTGGGTGACAAGAGCAACAATCCATCTCAAAAAAAAAAAAAAAAAGACGCAATAAGAATATGAGAGTGCTTTGTAAAGTTTGCAAACCATTATAATAAATATTTATGTTTTCACAGCTTAGATCTAAGAACTAAGGAGGGTAGGAGATATGTAAGACAGTATTAAGACTGGGCCAGGTGCAGTGGTTCATGCGTGTAATTCCAGCACTTTGCAAGGCCAAGGCAGACAGATCATGAGGTCAGGAGTTCGAGACCAGCCTGGCCAATATGGCAAAACCCCGTCTCTATTAAAATGCAAAAATTAGCCTGGTGTAGTGGCAGGCACCTGTAGTATCAGCTACTCAGGAAGCTGAGGCAGGAGAATCGCTTGAACCAGGGAGGCGGAGATTGTAGTGAGTCAAGATCACACCACTGCACCCTAGCCTGGGCAACAGAGCAAGACTCCATCTCAAAAAAATATATATATTAAGAATGAGCTGAACATAAATTTATGTGAATTTCTTTTTCATTTACAAATCCAAGTTAAGAAACTGCATAGAACATAGAGCTAGTGAATCCTTTTTTCAGTGGCTTTAAAATGGCTTGGACTAAGACATTCCCATTCTTCTTCCTAGAATGTTCACCCTTTACCATACCATCTTAATTTTCTTATGTTTCCCAGTTTTTCTTTGATGAAGCAAATTAATGGAGAAACAAACGTCACCTTAATCTCATATTTGTCTGCACTTAAGAGGATGTAGTCTCCGGGACTGTGCAAGAGAGATTTGACTTTGCATTTCTGCAAAACTACCTGCAAATATAAACATCCATATTACAGAAAGATCCATTTAATGCTGTTTCTATAATGATTTTGTTCTTTAAATTAAAATACGAAAATGAGCTTAAAATATGCTAGAATAGCTAATCCATAACTCCATTACCAAATTAACCTCTACTAAAAGTTTTACTACCATATTCTCTGTTATTATCAGTATCTAAGGGTCTAATGTTAGCCAAGTGAGATGGCAAATGCCAATAATCCTAGTGACTCATAAGGCTGAGGTGGGAGGACTGCCTGAGCCCAGGAGTTGGAGGATGCAGTGAGCTATGATTGAGCCACTGCACTCCAGCCTGGGCAACAGAGCAAGACTATTAAAAAAAAATGTGTCTAAATGTTGGCAGCATTTAATCTTAGCAGTCGTCTAGAAGCAAACATTAGGACTGATTTTTAAAAATTGGCCGGGCAAGGTGGCTCACGCCTGTAATCCCAGCACTTTGGGAGGCTGAGGCAGGTGGATCATGAGGTCAAGAGATCGAGACCATCCTGGCCAACATGGTAAAACCCCATCTCTACTAAAAAATACAAAAATTAGCTGGGCGTGGTGGCACATGCCTGTAGTCCCAGCTACTCAGAGGATGAGGCAGGAGAATTGCTTGAACCCAGGAGGCAGAGACTGCAGTGAGCCAAGACTGTACCACTGCACTCTAGCCTGGCACCTAGTGACAGAGCAAGACTCTGTCTCAAAAAAAATTAAAAATGTAACTTAAGAAAAGAAACAGAAAAGAAAAAAGCCCACAGGCACTCAAGTAGATGCAGATGATATGCTTTCAGAAGCATGTGCATCATAAAGGAGAAAGCACTGGACTTGGGACCAGAATCTGCCATATGCTGACTTTGCAACCTTGGGCAAGACCATTTAAACTGTCAGTTTCCTGATTTTTACAATAGGAGACAAGCACCTATTACCTTCCCTCATTTAATTATAGTAAATATACTATAACAATGTAAATTAGAGTAGTAATATATAGTAAAAGCTAACATTCCATTAGCATTTGAGATAGTCTGTAAACATTAGGTTCTAACTATTTTTGTAATAAATCAGCATAAGGTGAGAGGGAAGCAGGGTTCACTCATTCAGAAGGCTGGACTGCAGACTCAACTGGAATAGACCGACATTACCATCTGTGTCCTAGCCCAATCAACTGTGTTTTCCACAACACCAAACTGCCTTACACTATAAAACTTTTCTATGTAAAAAGTTAACGTTAAGTTTTTTGTTTTGTTTTGTTTTTTAATTAGCAGCCAGGTGCGGTGGCTCACGCCTCTAATCCCAGCATTTTGGGAGGCTGAGACGGGTGGATCACCTGAGGTCAGAAGTTCGAGACCAGCCTGGCCAAGACGGTAAACCTCGTCTCTACTAAAAACACAAAAAGTTAACTGGGAGTGGTGGCAGGCACCTGTAATCCCAGCTATTCGGGAGGCTGAGGCAGGAGAATCACTTGAACCCGGGAGGTGGAGACTGCAGTAAACCAAGATTGTGCCATTATACTCCAGCCTGGGGAACAAGAGTGAAACTCCATCTCAAAAAAATACAAAAAAAAATAAAAATTAAAATTAAATTTAAAAAATTAGCTGGGTGTGGTGGCATACGCTTCTAGTGCTAGCTACTCAGGAGGCTGAGGTGGAGGATCACTTAAGCCTCAGGATTCGAGGTTGCAGAGAGCTATGATCATGCCACCGCACTCCCACCTGGGCAACAGAGTGAGACTCTGTATAAAAACAACAAATGAACAACAAAAAACTTAATGTGCCCAATACATAATTACGGTCTTACAAACTACTCTCCCTTTAGCCCCAACTATTTCAAAAAAAGATATAATCATCCACCAAATCTAAAACCCACCAGTCACCTCTGATTCTTTCTTCTTCTTGGTTTCCCACGATGAATCTGCAAGGCCAGGTGGCTTTATCTTAAAGATATATCCTTTATGGGTGCTCTTTTCATTATTGCCAGCCAAATCTAAGTTACGGGTGGGTATCTTCTGGTTAGACTATCTACTGCCAAAGCCAAATGGTCACCCTGTATCTGATTGTGCCCAACACTAGTCCATTCTTCATTCAGCAATTAATTTTCTTAAAACACACATTGCACCACACACTTGCTCAGAACTTGTGGATTGCTTTCCAGAATACTTCTGATGATATCCACCATACTTACTGTGGCTTTACAGATCATACAGGATGACCACCTCTCTGCCCATCTCCCCAGCATGGCTCCACTGGCTTAAGTCCAGGTCATCAAATGTTCTAAGTTCTTTCCCACTCCTGGGCTTATGCATATACTGTACCCTCTAAAACAATCTTTCGGCTACTCTTTCCACAGCTATCTCCTATTTATTCTTCAGGTTAAATCCCCTTTTCAAAAAGCTTTCTCTGAACTACTTTCCTAAACTGCCTTTTTTTTTTTTTTTTTTGAAATAGAATCTCACTTGGAGTGCAGTAGTGCAATCTTGGCTCACTGCAACCTCTGCCTCCCAGGTTTCAAGTAATTTTCCTGCCTCAGCCTCCAGAGTAGCTGGCATTACAGTTACCTGCCACCATGCCTGGCTAATTTTTATACTTATAGGAGAGACATGGTTTCACCATGTTGGCCAGGCTGGTCTTGAACTCCTGGCCTCAGGTGATCCACCTGCCTCAGCCTCCTAAAGTGCTGGGATTACAGACATGAGCCGCTGTGCCTGGCCTTAGACTTTCTTGTAGAACACTGTACTGTTCCTTCATAAAACTTAACACAGTTTGTTTCCTCAGCCCCTCATAGAATGGCAAACTCAAGAAAAGTGCTTCTGCATGGCATATCCATTATTAATACTGCATTTGATCCTCACAACAATCTTGTTTTAAAAACTAGAAAACATTACGATATTTTGCTAAAGATCCTGTGCAGTTTTCTTTGTCCTACTTCTTGTAAACATTATTTTTTCAAAATGAAAATTGCTTTTCTGATTAAAAAACATCTTTATTCTAAAAGTAAAAATGCACCCACAATCCCACGAGAAATACCCACCTTCAACATTTTGATGAACACATTCAGAAACCGATTATCACACTCTACCTATTATGTAACTTATGTAAACTGTTTTATTTGCCCCCTTTATCCACCTAAATATATTGCGGGCATCTTTCCATGTCCATAAGTCATGCATTTGCTAAACTATTTATAAAGTACCTTATACTTGCTCTTGTATACCATCATGCTTTGTGGTTACATCAATTCCATCTTATGACTCACCTAACACTTAAAAGGCAGTGTCTAACATCCTTCACCCTCTCCCTCAAAAAGCCTGACAAGAAGATTTCTTCTAAGTCTTCCTACCTTGGTGACCCATTCCGTGTGCCCGGTGAGTGTGTTCAGGCATGTCCCAGCAGATAAAGCCCATACTTTCACAGTGAAGTCTGCAGAGCCACTCACCAAGATATCCAGTTCATCATTGTAGTCCACACTAAACACTAGTGCATATAATATACACAAAGTTAAAACATGTCTCTGTCAGTGAGCTCTTTTAGAGTTCAATAATGTTTATTTTCCCCACTGCCCAATTACATAATTTCCCAACCAGAGACACTGTAATGGTGCTATTCAACTAGCAATTTTATGATAAAAGTATTTCAAAATTATTATTATAGATTATTCTAAGCTGGAAAGTCCCAGGAATAATAAAATCTCTTTTATATGTGGTGAGACGCAAAACAAGTGTTGGAGACAATGGCATTCCTTCTTAGGACTGCCTGTCTGATACTACACCATACTTTATCTAATTTATGCAGGAAAACAGAACATACATGGTCCTACTCCGATACACAATAAGAGTAAGACAAATGTAAAGAATGGAAGCTGCAAAACAGCACCCAGACTCAAGAAAAGCCAATGCAAAGACAGAAAAAATAAAACAAAAACAAGGATCTCAAAGGTCAGATTAAGCCATTCACTCAAAACAGTGTCTGAATTTCTTCACGGCTGTATCCCCAGTGCCAAAAACAGTGTGTGTGCAGTATAGTGAGTCCTCAAATATTTATTTTCAAATGTATGCCAAATTCTAAAGGAACATTAGGGACCCAGAGATGAAGACACTGATTCTTCCTTTAAGAAACTCAGTATAAGTAGAGGGTGGAGGAGGAAGCCCAGAAAAAATAAATGTTTACCTCTTGCTAGGGAAACATCAAGGAGAATGACTAACTCTGCCCAGGGGTATCAGGGAAGACTTCAGGGAAGAGGCGATATTGGAGATGGGCCCTGAAGGATGAGTAGAGTTTATCAAGGAAAGAAAAAAGAATATTGCAGGCAGAAGGAACAGTAAAGGCATAAAGTTAAGAAAAACCTCAGCAATGTCTAGGCAACAGTTAGAAAATGTATTAGAGCGAGGTTCTCAAAGTTGATCCTGAATAAAACCACCTGGAAGTCATGGTACATCTTAACATTGTGGAATATAACATTCAGTTTAACATATACTTCCATACATACATGCACCTTCAAATATTAATTTCTCAACAAACAAGTGGTAGCAGGCAGCAAAGACTGAAGAAGAGTATATAGGAAAAACAAAATGAAGCAAAAAATATGCGTTTTTATTAGCATAATGGCTAGTTTTACTTCAAAGAACCACTAAGCACCAGGAATGGTGCAAGGAACTCAAGTCACATGGGTGGACAAGACAGGTAGGATCACTGTCCTTATGGAGTTTAGTCTGGTGTGAAAGCAAGATTATCATATTTATATCATGAGTGGTCTATAGTAATACAAGTTACTGGGAAACAGAGGGACCCAACCTGTTAAGGGAGTCCTGAAAGTCTGCTCATAAATGTTACATTTGATATTATAGACTATGAATCTCGGAGGCTAAAACAGTGGGTAAATGGGGGAAACGAAGAAGGGAGCTTCTGCGTAAGAGGCTGGGAAATAGCTCAATTTCTAAACAAAGCTCCAAAAAAAAAAAAGCAACACAGAGAGAAGCTCAAATCTCAAGGCTATATTCAAATGACCAGTTGTTGCAAAAATAAGGCTGCTATACATTTATTAGGAAACATTCAGGTATGTTTCTTTCACCTTATCTCTAGGTGGTAGCTTGTTTTAATCAACTGTCAACCAAGCTCCAACTGGATGTAATCTGTGTAGACCACAATCTAGGAACTACCATCACACCAAATACCTTTCAGCCCTAATGCTACAAATAAAGTGGAATTTACACAAGTAGGATTTACTCAAGTTAGAGGTATGGAATCTGATAAAGGCAAAGGAACTGACTGTTCAACAGGATATAAATGAAACAGGAGTGGGGAGAGAGAGAATGAGAGAGAGAGAAAGAGAAAAAGAATGAGAACTATCCCTCCCACAAGAAGGGTACATAGGAGAAAGCAAGAAAAAGCAAAACTGGGTAAAATATTCCAAATAAGAGTAACTAGAATAAAAGGAAGTAACTGCAGTGACTAAGAAAGAGGGTTGAAAAAAGCAGGTTAAATAAAAAAAAAAAAGTATTTCACATTCTTGGCTCCTGGCTTAAAAGGATGAGGCTAGTAACTGTAAAAACCCTTGAAAAAGGGCAACCCACCCGCCCCCGTGTGCCCCCGAAAGTGCTGGGTCCTGGCTCCGGAACTCCATTCCCAGCAAGCCACAGTGTTGTCAAAGGAGCCTGTCACAAGCTTCTGTTCATCAAACTTCACCGCTGCACAAGTGTGGGTCTGGATGCCATAAACGCACTGCCCTGTGCTCACATCCCACAGCTTTGCAGACAAGTCATCTGACCCTTCAAGAGAAAAAGAGGGAGGTTAATAAGAAAACAGACACACTAAAGAAGGAAAATCAATCCCAAAATCACGGTGTTCTTCAAGCACTCTACTTTACAGCTGAGGAAACCAAAGCATGGAGAGAGTAACACAACTTCCTCAGTCACCAAAATGGAGTCAAAAGCACTAGTACAGAATTCAACCTTTTTAGTTGAGACCTTTTCCCTTAACTTTCCAGCATATAGAAGGGCATTAGACTAAAGCATCCCTTGATGCTTCCACTTGAAAAATTTCATAAATCCTTGGCTCTCTGATTTGAATTAAATAGATGGGTATTACACATGACTACATGTTTACATTTGCATGCTTGTCCGTTACCCAACAGTTCTGAACAAAGAATGCTGAATAGTAAAGGTGCCTGCTGAAACATATTCCACTCTAAGGCAAATCAAAAATAAACCTCAGAGCGTAGGTTAACGTCTACCAAAGCTAACTGCTAACTGCTCCAGCCATCTTGAAATATGTGAAGAAATAAACCTCAAGGAAAACCTGGGATAAATTATCCCCAGACTCTCACAACATAACAAAGAGTTTGTAAAGCCTCTTAAGATTCTGCAGGAAAACGTCAGTTTATTTCAGCCGCTGATGAAAATTCTATACTAATCATGGTGACAATTCAGGACTTTGCTTTAATTAAGTTTAAAATCATAATGATTATTTCATTCTCACAATGTACCTTTAATAAGCCTCAACAAATAAAAAGACATTTTCGACAACTCACTAAATATAGTCACTATGATAATGGCACAATATCCTAGGAAAGCACCAAATGACCAGTTTTTATAAAGCTGAAATGACTAAATAAAGCCAGCCACAATTCCACCTTTAGTCAAGAATCACTGTTTCAGACAATGGAAAAATGGCCATCACTTATGAAAGAGCTAGAGTTTGAATTTTAACCTGGGAAAACTATGACAGCATCCTGAAATAAAGACTGTATTTACTGTTGCTTTACTATTTAGAACTCAGTTTCCTTCTGTATAAAAAGAGGGGTAGGACTTGGTTGGTTCTCAGTGGCCATGTGAGACAGCAGAATCATCTGGGAAGCTTTATTAAAACCCAGAGGCAGGTCCCTATTTTCAGAGAGTCTAACTTGAAAACATCTGAGGTGGGGTCCAATAATCTTAAATATTTGCCAGGTGATTCTAACTCATCAGCAATATTTTGAGAGCCAATGGTCTAGAATGGTGCTATCCAACAGAAAACATAATGCAAATTACATATGTAATTTAAAATGTTCTAACAGCTACATTAAAAAAGAAATGTTGGGCTGGGTTTGGTGGCTCACATCTGTAATCCCAGCACTTTGGGAGATGGGCACTTCGCCTGAGCTCAGGAGTTCAAGACCACCCTGGGCAACATGGTGAAACCTGTCTCTTCTAAAATACAAAAATTAAGCTGGGCATGGTGATGCACACCTATGGTTCCAGCTACTTGGAAGGCTGAGGCATGAGAATCACTTGAGCTCGGGAGGCAGAGGTTGTAGTGAGCCAAGATCACACCACTGTACTCCACAGCTTGGGCTACAGAGTGAATCTCCATTTCAAAAAAAAAAAAAAGAAAAGAAAAGAAATGTTGGCCAACATGTGTCCACTAAAAAAATACAAAAATTAGCTAGGATGACAGTGCAAGCCTGTAGTCCCAGCTACCTGGGAGGCTGAGGCAAGAGAATCACTTGAACCCAGGAAGAGGTTGTAGTGAGCCAAGATCACAACACTGCATTCCAAACTGGGTGACAGAATACTGTCTCAAAAAAAAAAAAAAAAAGGAAACGTGTTAAAATAATTAAATGTATTTTATTTAATTCAATATGTTAAAAATGTCATTTCAACATGTAATCAATACAAATACGGAGATATGTTATGTTCTTTTAGATTGTAAGTCTTTGAAACCCAGTATTTTACATTTCCATTTGGACTAGCTGCTCAAAAGCCACATGGGGCTAGTGGCTACTGTACCGGAGAGCATAAGTCTAGATAGTCTTTAAGGTCTTCAGTTTAGGCATGTTGTGACTGTATTCCTAAGGAGTAGAGTAGGAAGAAAATCATCTTAGGTCCTTTATGAACTTGGTTCTGATTTATTACCAGTGTTCAACTAGGGTCTCATTCATTCATTCAACACATATTTATAGAACTTCTGTGTCAGGCAGGGCTCTTGCTCTCATGGCATTCAGTCTACTTGGGAAGACAAAAAGGCTAAACAAGCAATAATAATTCAGTATAGCAGGTGGTAGGCACTAAAAAAGTCCATAGCAAATACAAGGAGCAGACAAAAAGAGAAAACATCTCAGACGAGGCCCCACTGAGTTTATGACCATGCTCCAACATGTAAGTGGACATGCCTTAGGAGATGGCATGATTGGCTCTTCAACTACACTCCTCTTTTGTTTTTAAGCTATGGTATAGGACTGTTTAAAGAATTTCATGGCTTTAAAAAAAAAAAACAACCAAAACCTTTTCAGTTTTAACTCATTGAAATCTAAAGGATGAATGTTAGCCAGGCCAAAACAAAACTAAACAATGAGTATACGCCAAAACTTTTTCAGTAAGAAACCTGATAGTAAATATTTCAGACTTCGACCTATTGAGTTGCAATTACTCTCTTCTGCTGGATTTGGCCCACAGTCCATAGTTTGCCAATCCCTGGTATATACCTATTAAAGTAACAATTAAATATCTACATACAACACAAAAATAAGTAAAATGGCACTGGGATCAATTCATAAAGAACTATTCGGAATCATTCAAAAAACTATCTAGGAGTTATTTACAATGCTTGTCAAAAAGCACTGCTTAAAACATGAACACTGATTATGAAAATAATTCAGTCTGACTGGGAAATAGTGGCAAGGTTTGGCTGCAAACTGGGTCAGGAAGATGTTTAACTATGACCTTATTTGCATTTCAGAAAGATTACTGTGGCTGTATCATGCAAAATGGTTTGAAGGGGGGAAAACTAGAGGCAAGAAGGTAACTAAAAATTAGGGGAGAGGGCAAACAAAATGTGACATATACATGGAATACACACACATACAAACACACACACACACACACACACACACACACACGTAATGGAATATTATTCAGCCTTAAAAAGGAATAAAATTCTGACACATTATGATATGGAGGAAGCTTGAAGACATCATGCTAAATGAACTAAGGCAGCCACAAAAGAACAAATCATACAAGCATGAGTCCACTTATATTAGGTTCCTAGAGTAGTCAAATTCATAGAAAGTAGAAGGGTAGGCCAGGAGCAGTGGCTCACGCCTGTAATCCCAACACTTGGGGAGGCTGAGGCAGGCAGATCACCTGAGGTCAAGAGTTTGAGACCAGCCTGGCCAACATGGTAAAACCTCATCTCTACTAAAAATACAAAAACAAGCTCGATGCAGTGGCACGTGCCTGTCATCCCAGCTACTCAGGAAGCTGAGGCAGGAGAATTGCTTGAACCTGGGAGGCAGAGGTTGCAGTGAGCCAAGATTGTGCCACTGCACTCCAGCCTGGGTGACAGAGCGAGACTCTGTCTCAAAGAAAAAGAAAGAAAGTAGAATGCTGGTTTTGCCACAGGATGTGGGTGAAGAGGCATGGGAAATGTTTAACTGATAAGAGTTTAGGCTGGGCATGGTGGCTCATGCCTGTAATTCCAACACTTCAGGAGGCTGAAGCAAGAAGATCATTCGAGCCCAGGAGTTCAAGACCATCCTAGGCAACATGGTGAGACCCTCTCTCTACAAAGCATACAAAAATTAGCTGGGCGTGGTGACACACACCTGTAGTCCCAGCTACTTGGGAGGCCAAAGTGGGAGCATCGCTTGAGCCCAGGAGGTAGAAAGTCAGCCAAGATACTGCCACTGTACTCCAACCTCTCCAACCTGTACTACAGAGTGAGACCACATCTCAAAAGATCCCCCCCCAAAAAAACAAAAAAAAATGGATACGGTTTAACTATATAGTGTATTATATACACTGTTTACATAGTTAACAGTGTATAGTGTTTAACTGATACCCGTTTTAGTTTGGGAAGACGCAAAGTTCTAGAAATGGATAGTGGTGGTGACTGCACAACAATGTGAATGTACTTGATGGCACTCAACTGCATGCTTTAAAATGGTTAAAATAGTAAATTTTATGCTCTGTATGTTTTAGCACAACTTGGAAAAAGACAGATTATCCAAACTAATTATTTAAACTAGTTCATAGAGGAAAACACTGTGCTAAAATATAAAAAAATAATCAGGTTGAGTTGAGTTCCATTTTACAGTGATGCAAGTCTACTTCTAAAAATCCTTCAGGAGCCACCATTCTCTGCTCCTTTCTGACTTTATGTCAAGCCTCCCCTCTGGACTCCCATTTGCTGCACTGTCTAACCCAACATGTTTTCAAAGAGGTCACCAGTAATGCAGCATAGAGGTGAAAGAGGACTAAATAAATGTGGACTATTACATCACATAAAAGAAAATAATGCCTCCCTATTCAGTATCTTAAAAATCTGAACAATACTTTAAAAAAAAAAATCAGACTATTTCATAGAACTCTAGATTTCAAGCTTCTCTTGAATATTCAGATCTAATAACTCTGACCCTGAATCCCACCCACATGGTAATAATTTATTACAATGGAGCAGCAGTTGCACTCTTTACAAAGTGTTCCTGATTCACTATAGTCCACACAGAGACTTTTACCTCGCCAGGTCATCTTCCTGGCCGCGGTGTGTATGTTCTATAAGAAAAGAACTGTTCTAATTTATCCATGTATGCCCTCACATTATTTTTCAAACAGCAGGCATCCCATAAGTATCTACTGAACAGCACCAAGCATAATAGGTCCCTTTCTTACCATTTCAGAAATAAATTGCAAAACAGAAAGATAAGTACCTCACTTTATGTGAATTTTTAGCATTAGCCATCCGTCGCTTTAATAAAACTATCTATTGCTTACTCAAGGAACTAATGTGAGAGTCACTCTAAGTTTATTGCCAAATTCAGTGTTTTTCCAGTTCTACCACAGTGAAAATTCAACCTCTTAAGTAACAAGATGACACAAACACATGTATAATTCTGTAACAAATACTTCCCTCACGGTTCCAGGGATGCTACTGTTAGAAAAATTAGACTAATGCTTTGGATCATTTTCAATACCCACAGCACAGCATAAATTTCAATATGCAAAACTGATTAATTTAATCAGAATAAAAATCACATTAACATATAGACCCACCTAGAGAATAATTTTAAAATGCAGAATTGTAGGTATTAACTTTCCAGGTAGTTAGAGAATTCAGTGAATATTTCCCATTTACTTTGACTCCAAGTCACGGCAGTTTTTACTACATTTCAAAAGTAAAGTTTGATGAGAGAAGAAAAAAAATTTTTTAAAGCAAGAGGAGCCAGGCGTGGTGGCTCACACCAGGAATCCCAGGATTCTGGGAGGCTGAGGTGGGTGGACTGCTTGAACCCAAGAGTTCTGAGACCAGCCTGGGAAACATGGTGAAACCCTGTCTCTACAAAAAATACAAAAATTAGCCAGGCAGTAGTCGTGCTCACTTGTAGTCCCAGCTAAACTCAGGAGGCTGAGGTGGTAGGATCACCTGAGCCCAGGAGGCAGAGGCTGCAGTGAGCCAAGATGGCACCATTGCACTCCAGCATACGCTACCTGGTGAGACGTTGTCTCCCAAAAAAAAAAAGTGGCTAGGCACGATGACTCATGCCTGATGCCTGTAATCTCAGCACTTTGGGAGGAGGTGGGCAGATCACCAGGTCAGAAGTTTGAGACCAACCTGACCAATATGGTGAAACCCTAAATCTACTAAAAATACAAAAATTAGCTGGGCTGTGGTGGTGTGTGCCTGTAATGCCAGATACTCAGGAGGCTGAGGCAAGAGAATCACTTGAACCCAGGTGGAAGAGGCTGCAGTGAGCTGAGACTGCGCCACTGCACTCTAGCCTGGGCGACAGCAGGAGACCCTGTCTCAAAAAAATAAAAGAAGAAGAAGAAAGGAAAAAAAATGCTAGAGGTGGTTGTGAAAACAGTGAGTCAACTGCCAGTAGAAGCTCCAAGCTCCAAGGTGATACTGGATCTTAATCTTTTTTTTGAAACAGGGTCTTGCTCTGTTGGGCAGGCCAGAGTGCAACAGCACAATCTCAGCTCACTGCAACCTCCACCTCCTGGGCTCAAATGATTGTCTCACCTCAGCCTCTGAGTAGTTGGGACTACAGGAGTGAGCTAGCACACCCAGCTAAGTTTTCTATTTTTTGTAGAGTCAGGGTTTTGCTATGTTGCCCAGGCTGGTCTCAAACACCTGGGCTCACATAATCTGCCTGCTTTGGCCTCCCAAAGTGTTGGGACTACAGGTATGCGCTACCTCACCTGGTCAACTGCATCTTAATCCTTAAAAATATGAGGCAAAAGAGACATAGGAAAGCCATCACCACAACAAAGGAAGTACATCAAAGCCTGGAAGAACTGGTGATGCTGTTCTAGCAATCAGGCTTGTAACAACAAGAAAAATAAAGCGTGAAATAACTTCAGGATGACAAACCAAACCATGAAATGCTTTAAATCAAATGTTTATTTTCTAAAGTTAGCAGAGTATCTAGCATTTCAGAGAACATAGCACCACATAATGTATCCCTTAATGAAGAAAAAAATGCAATTGTAAAACAGTCTTGAGAAATGATACATCTCAACATTAAAAATATTAAAACTGAGTCTGGTGAGACTCTTGAGGGAGACATAAGTTACTTAAGACTATATTGGCTTTTACAGGTTAATGAGCGATTAAAAAAAAACACTATATTGGCATGGCATCAAGTCAATCTATCTGAAAAGGACTCTAAGAAGAGCTATAAAATTGGGCCGGGTGTGATGGCTCAGGCCTATAATCCCAGCAGTTTGGGAGGCTGAGGCAGGCGGATCACCTGAGGTCAGGAGTTCAAGACCAGCCTGACCAACATGGTAAAACCCCACCTCTATTAAAAAAAAAAAAAAAATTAGTCAGGCATGGTGGCATGTACCTGTAATCCCAGCTACTTGGGAGGCTGAGGCAGGAGAATCACTTGAAACCTGAAGGTGGAGGTTGCAGTGAGGTGAGAACCTGCCACTGCACTCCAGCCGAGGCGATAAAGCGAGACTCTGTCTCAAAAAAAAAAAAAAGCGCTAAAAACGAATTCATACTTCTGTATCTGGTGATTCTACATTTAGGCTTCTGTCCCAAATGGAAAAAAACAGATAATTCAGTTAAGCTTTGTGTTCCCACCCAAACCTCATCTTGAATTATAATCCCCAGGTGTTGAGGAAGAGACCTAGTGGGAGGTGACTGGATCATAGGGGTGGTCCCCCATGCTGTTCCCATGATAGTGAGTGAATTCTCTTGAGAGCTGATGGTTTTATAAGTGCCTCTTCCCACTTCACTCACACTCCCTCTCTCCTGCTTCTTTGTGAACAAGGTGCTTGCTTCCCCTTTGCCTTCTACCATGACTGTAAGTTTCCTGAGGCCTCCACAGCCATGTGAAACTATGAGTCAATTAAACCTCTTTTCTTCATAAAATACTCAGTCTTAGGCAGCTTTTTTTTTTTTTAAGCACTTTGAGAATGGACTAATACGTGCACCAATATGGAAATGGCTAAATGATGACTATTGATATATTTACACAAAGGAACAGTTTATACTGTACACAAATGTTTATTAGAAGTTTTCTTTGATTAAAAAAAAACACCAAGCATTTCTTATATATAATATAAGAAAACAGGCATCGGGATTATTAGTAAGAACTGCCTGGAGCTATTCTAAATGCTGCCTAAGAATTATTTACATTGCCTGTCAAAACATATTATCTAACACATGGGCATTACTTATATACAGAAACACATGACTATTATGAATGAAAAATAATATATATAATTTTAGATTTTTAATAATTACATTGTTTTATAAAGTTAATTGCCTAGTTTAAAAATATCCAACTCTCTATTCCCCGGCCCAAACTCCCAACTTCTGCTTCTTCTATTTAGAATCACAGGACTTCAGAGCAAGGAAGAAATATCTCCTTTCCACACTGCCACACCCAGCTATTTTTTCGTATTTTAGTAGAGACAGGGTTTCACCATGTTGTCCAGGCTGGTCTCAAACCCCTGAGCTCAGGCAATCCATCAGCCTTGGCCTCCCAAAGTGCTAAGATTACAGGCGTGAGCCACCGCACCCGGCCTCCTTTCCCATATTTTAAAGATACCGAGAGGATAAGCAATTCAGCCAAAATGATCTAACTACTTGCTAGGATTAAATACTAATGTTTCCACTGTTTTTTTCTCAAATATCAGTGTTGACAGAAAATTAAACAAAATTTAGCAAGATGGAGGACTATACATAGAGGAAACACAGAGAAAAAGTAATCAATAGCTTTATAATACACATAATGTTTAAGACAGTCTGAAGTGTTTTTCTCATAAAATTTTACAAAAATGATTGTGTTCTCTAGAGACAAGATAAAGGATACGGGTGGAAAATCCACTCAGGGATAGAGAAAAAAATGTCACTGTACATATCTCATATAATTGACACTTGCCATTCTCAAAGCTGAGAACTGGTTTAAGATCACACCCTACGAAATACAAAACAAAGCCAAAAAACAGTTCCAGCATCTCTTACCTGTACAGAGAAGTCCATCTTTGTAGTAAAGTGCATACACTCTGGCACTGTGTCCAATTAATGATGAGGTCTCAAAGGCTTCATGGTCCTCCAGTTGCTTCATTCTCAAAATAGCCTTCAAATAAACCTTCTTCCAGTGCAAAGCGTCTTGAACAGAATCATCTATCTGCCAGCCCAAATTTTTACATGCAGTCTGCCACACCTCTGTGCAGGCACTTATCACCTTATTCCACTGTTTAGAGACGAGGCAGCATGTGAGTAAAGTCTGAGGATCGAGCCATTTTAACAAATAAAAACTGAGCTCCAGGGGAAGGAGTTTGAGGAAGTCCCGCTTGAGGAGAGTCTCTAGGTTATTGGAGAGATGCCTGAGCTGGACTGCCCCACTCAGACTAATCAGGTGATCCAGAGTTTCATTTTTCTGCAAGTCCGTCAGAGAAAGAAATGTAACAGAAATGTTATCAAGCCATGTCTCAAAGTCCTTTCTCTCCATAAGGTTATGGAAAAATTTACCTGTGGCACATCAAAATATTGTATTAGTTCTGCTCAAAAAGACTGTTCAAGCAAGACTGCTAACAAATGAGGTATTAAAAGTTAGTGTAAAAAAATCTGCCATTACAACTTTATGCATAGTTACATTACAACATTAGTTAATACACTATATTTATCTGAACACTTTCCATGCACGCCAAAGAAAACACATTTGAGAAAACATACTTTATCAAATCATGATCTCCAAAACAAGTCAGTGAAACAGACTGGTATGTGTGACTTAATCCTTTTGAAGTCTAGCACATGCTACATGCATCTTCATGGTAATAGATTTACCAACAATTCATTACAAAACAGTATATTTTATAATACACCCCTCCTTCATCAAAACCATTAAAAACCAATTTCTTTAATTAATTCCTTAATACATTCTATTTGGGTACTAAAATCACAAAAGCAAGCACCAGGATGTGACAATCAGAAACAAGTATCCTGAGCAATAACCTGAGACACTGATTATCATGGCAGGCACCACCTGTCACCAAAATCATAGAACTGACTACCTGCTTTTGCAACAGATGTTCAGCTGAAAAGGTTTAGGGAAGAAAAGTAAGCTGGTGTAGTAAGTTATCTGCCTCAGGTATTCTGGGTCTTCCAACTTTTTTATGGCACTGCCTATTTAGAAAATGAATTACCGAAGACCTTATTTGGCTGTAGTCTGTTTTTATAAGCCTCGTATGAGCTAGTGACAACTCTTAACCACAGGCCCCAGAGAGTCATGAGGGTCCTGGAGGCCTACACAAATAAAGCAAATTAATAATCCTGATGTTTATAAAACACCAGAAAATAGGCATTATCATCTTCACTTTGCAAATGAGGAGACTACAGGTTAGAGAAGGTATGTGATTTGTCTATATTCACAGAGCTATTAAATAGTTGCAGAACAGACTGGATGCCAGTGCTCTCAAGATCAGGATACCAAGCTCTCTCTCTAAAGTGAGTGACAATCAGGAGAACCAAGATCTGGTGATAAGATCTGGGGGTAGTGTGTCTACCCAATAGACCATTTTCTCCCTTAGGAGAATGCCAAATTGCTCCAGAGCTAATTTTAACAAGTAATTTTTAAAAAGTTGTCCTGCATTAGTGTCAACAGGCATTAACTCATTCTTAATAATGATTAAATTAATGATAGATTAAAAAATAAACCAGTAAAAACTATCTTTCTCAAGACTGTGTGTTGACTATATGTTAATGCTGGGTGATGGGCGCATAGGGATTTATTAATCTCTTTATTTCCATATATTTAAATAGTTCCAAGATTTAATAAAAACTTTCCTTCTAATTTGAATACTCAGTTTCTCACAAGATTGTCATACTAATTTAAAAAATATATGTCCAAAATTAACCTAGAAAAGGAAAGTTAATTGCTTTCCAGACATATCACCTGGATCAGGTATACACAAAAAGCAAGTTCTCATCTTCCAACTTTGTTAATGTAAAGTGAAAAAAATCCTAAGTGCCCAATATCAAATTTGGCAAAAACATTCTTAGACAAATAAGCAGTCTGATTTATTAGTAAAAGCAACCAAATCTTGCAATCACATCATCTGCTAATTGTTTGAACTTCTGGAACTGTGACTAGACTTCAAGATAATACTTTCGAAGCCAAAGAGTTTGGACTAGAGAGGATTTATTAATTTGTATTAAAAATTTACCTAGCTGACAAAAAAATCAGATCACTAAAAGTTTTATCAACTTATCACACAATAAAAAGCCCCCTCCTTCCTCTAAATCCTAACAACCCTCTTATCTATATTACATTTCTGGAAAAGATCTACTATTAAAAAATAACAATTCACAACAAAACAAAGCAATTACCTTCTGTGGGCATCTACACAATGTCACAATAGCTAGTTAATTAATACTGGTCAATTAAAAACACACACCAAAACACCTGCTCCAGAAACATTTTGAACAGTGAAAAGTGTGGTGTGGGAGGCTTCCTCCATCACAACTATACATACATATATACACACATACATACACATGCCAACACACATCTATTTTGTAGAAACGGTTGTATTTATGTGAGCTGAATTGTTATTTAAACAGCTACAAGGTGGCCAGGTGCAGTGGTTCACACCTGCAATCCCAGCACTCTGGGAGGCTGAGGAGGGCAGATTATGAGGTCAGGAGTTCGAGACCAGCCTGACCAACATGATAAAACCCCGTCTCTACTAAAAATACAAAAATTAGCCAGGCGTGGTAAAGTATGCCTGTAATCCCAGCTACTCGGGAGGCTGAGGCAGGAAAACTGCTTGAACCCAGGAGGTGGAGGTTGCATTGAGTTGAGATAGTGCCACTGCACTCCAGCCTGGGCAAGAGAGGCAAGACTCCATCTCAAATAAATAAATAAATAGCTACAAGGCAAATTTAGAATACCTATTAAAATATTATCAGGTTCTCATCATCCACAGATATCTAAGAGACATACTACAACATGCTAAATTAATGTGTCCATGACACCACTAAAGATTATGGACAGTTTTTTCAGTGAGCACCTTTAAAAAGCTCGGCCATGTCTGAGATTCATATATTCTCCTAACTCTTAATAAAAAAATTTTTCCCAACTCTTAGATTGCCTTTAAAACCATTCAATCTCTTGTAAAACTGAGCAGTTCACCTCTGATTATTCTGAAAAAAGCATTTTTTTTTTCTTAATAAAGGAGGTCTCACTAACTGCAGAATGCACTATTTAAAAAAACCAATTGTTTCTTTTCTAAAAGGATCAACTAACTTTGGAGGGAGCTTTCTAAGGTAACAGGTCTCAACTGGACTCTTTTAGACAGTCTCTAGAAATACCATATACTGGTTGCACAAACATCAGGAAATGGGATTTCAATTAACATGAGAAGCTTTTAAATCTCAGTGCTTTCCAACAATAGAATAGCTGCCTCCAGAGCAGTGAGTTTCCCATTACCACAAACAGTCAAGGACAGCTGGACACACAGGCAGAATGTGATAAATAAAAATGCTTTGGAGGTCGAAATGCTTTACTGATTCAGCCACTTCCTATGTGATTATGGGCATGTCCAACTAACTTCTAAGCTTCAGTTCTGTCATCTGTAAAACGGAAGCTTTCATCTAACTTGAAGGGTGGAACTCAGAAACATAGGAGGGACATGCTTAGCACAGTGTACACACTCTAGAGGATTAAAACTCAAATGATACTTTTTGTTAGTTTTATTACTATGATTACCTGGCAGGCAAGATTTTTGTGACACTGAGGCTGAACTAGACATGACCACTACCATCTTCTTCAACCCTATCATCACAAAGTTTCCCTTAAAAACACCTGGAAGAGGTGGTCTGAAGGTAGTCAGTTATCTCAGTTGATTGTTCACAGTCAGTTACAGACCGAACTCCTTGTTCTACTCTTTCCCTCCTTCTCACTACTGCACTTGATTAGTCTTTAAAAAAAAAAAAAAAAACCTGGAAGAAAAACTCAAGGGCTCAAACTTACTAGGGGTTTAATTTTATAATGAAGAGCACTCATTTGTTTATTAGAGGCTCTAGTTTCCCTGCAGGTGCCTTATACTAGCCACATTCCCTGTTGTTTGCCCCCTTGCCCCAAGCCCCTATCTGAGAGTTAAAACATTCAACTTGCCCTCTTGCTTTCAGTATCAATAATCACAAACCTCTGAGGAAGTGGGTCATGTAACAAAAAGACTCCTAAATTGGAAGATGAGAGCCTGGGGTTAGTCTCCCTCAGGTTCTGCCATTATGTTACCTTAGGCAACTGGCATATTTATGTTGCTTTTATTTAAAGAAAAAGTATCACTGGTAAACATTATCTCATTTGATCTTCATAACCTCATGGAAGGTATCAATAATCCCACCCTTACCTAACATAATGAGGAACTTTATGGCTCAAGAAGTAGAATGGCTTTCCCAGAATGGCATAGGAAGTAGCAGCCTCAATATACAATAGCCTCAAAACCTACACTCTGAGTTATTAGAGAAAGAACCTTCTGGATAAAACAGTGTAGGCCAGGCGCGGTGGCTCATGCCGGTAATTCCAACACTCTGGGAGGCCGAGGCTGGCGGTCACGAGGTCAGGAATTCGAGACCAGCCTGATCAACATGGTAAAACCCCGTCTCTACTAAACACACACACACACACACACACACACAAAATTAGCCGGGCGTGTTGGCACACACATGTAACCTCAGCTACTCAGGAGGGTGAGGCACGAGAATCGCTGGAACCAGGGAGGCGGAGATTGCAGTGAGCCGAAATCGCGCCACTGCACTCCAGCCTAAAGAGCGAGACTCCGTCTAAAAAAAAAAGTATAAATACGTTTTCCCCTCCTACTCCATCAGAACCTGGCCTAGTCAAGAGTGCAAGCAACGTAATTGTTAGTGGCATACCGAAGGAGGTTTCCTTTCCCCCCCTCTTTTCCTGACAAAGAGTACAGAGGCTTTAGAAATGTATACACATGTATAAATTTACATCTGCATAAAATGTAATCTGAATATTCAAAAAACTGATAACTCTGGTTGCCTCCAGAGAGAACTGGGGAGCTGGAAAACAGGAATGAGGGGTCCCTTTTCATTGTATATTTTTAAAAACTGAGAACCACATAAGTATAATACACTATCAAAAAACAGCCTTTAGTTTTAAGGTGAATTTTTTAAAGCTTTGAAAGAATACAAATAATGTTTATAAAATACGGGTTCTGCAACTCCACTTGTTGCTGGGTGACCTTGGGCAAATCACTTTACATGCCTCACTCCCTGTTTCCTCACTTGTAAAATATAGCCACGAAGAGCATTACCTACAAGGGTTTTTATGATGGTTAAACAGGACAGTGCACGTAGAGCGTTTAGCACAGTACCTGGCACACTGCAAGTCTTCAGTAAATGTCAGTTAGCATTATTATTTAGCATTAATAGTTACCTTTGCTTTAATTCGAGAAGCACCACACATACACACCTGTTTCCATGGCATACCCACAATTATCGCGCAGTACAGCGCTTTGTACTTCATAAACCACCTCATCACACTTCATCTTTCAAACGCTTGGTAGCCCTGGGACATCACAGTTAACTCATTTCGCAGCTAAGGAAATGGAAGCACTAGGAGGCAGTAACTCCGAAACCCTATTTTCCCATTTCTAAAATCCAGATCCCAACAACCCATTCGTCGCTCCCAGGTCCCTCGCTCCCGGAATCGTGTTCCGCGCGGCACTGACCTGAGCGAGCGCCCCGGGGCCCGGGACCTCGCGCCGGGTTCACAGCTACCAGGCGCGCTCGGGCCGCCAGAGCCTCGCAGCGGCCGGGTCCGCTCCGCAGCCATGGCGCCTGCAGGGAGAAAAAGACAAACCGCCAAGGCGCGGCGGGTCAGCCGAAGCGCGGGCGCCTGAGAGTCCCCTCCCAGACCGGCTCCGCCTCGCATACAAACCTGGACCTGCGGCCGCCGCTCCCGGTCCGCAGCCTCACAGGGGAGCGGCTTCCGGTGCTGCCTACGTCATCTCCACGCGTCCGTCAGCCCCGCTGCGCCCGGCGGAAGCGGCTGTGCTTCCGGTCCCTGGCCCAAGGGGGGAAGGTGGGAGGTGGTGGGTTGTGGGAGGCTGGAGGCCGGGAGTCGGGGTTGGGGAAGAGCGTCCTAGGAAGCTGGGCGCGCGTTGCGCGGCCCCCAGGGTGCTTAGACTGGGTACAGACTAGAGCAGAGCTTCCCTTCGTACCCATACATCCGGGTTTGCACAGCGCTCTTATGTCCCTCCTCCAATTCAATCTTGCACCAACTGCAGTTTTTCTTTTCTTCACTTTACGGAGAGGGAGCTGCGGCTCAGAGAAGTTAAGAGACGTGTCCAAATTCATACAACCCGTTGAGCACCTCTTTTATCCGGAATACTGTTTTGCGAGTAAGTTTAGTGAACAAAAAACACAAAAATTCCTGACCGCCTGGGACATCTATTAGGAGGAGGAAGACCGATAAATTAAGTAAGGCATCTGTGATGTGCTAAGGAGAAAAATAAAGCAGGGTAAGGAGGTTGGTGAATGAAAAAAGACAGTCAGGTGACATAGATTTGAATGAATCGCAGCATTTACACTCTGGCTGTCGCCTGGGTACTTTACCTCTCAGATTGCTTCATCTGCATAGCAATTATAGTAAGCTACCCACCCGAAGTGTCTGAGGATTTAAGGAAATGAAGTATGCAAACCTTTTAGCGTCAGGAACTAAAACTGAGCTAAATTTCATGCACTTTCTCAACATTTTTTGTGTACCATCTCAGTTCCCACAACAACCCCACAAGCTAGTTACTATTATTAGGCCCATTTTTAGAGATGGGGAAACTGAAATCAAAAGATTTAGGCATTTTGCCTAAGGTTATAGTAAATGGCTGTCATAGGATGTCAACCCAAACCGACTTCGGAGCACAAGTTATCCCCCCCACCCTTTTTTTTTTTTTTTTGCTGAGGCAGAGTATCACTCTGTCGCCCAGGCTGGAGTACATACAGTGAGTACAGTGGCACGATCTTGGCTCACGGCAGCCTCGACTTCTCCAGGTTTAAACGATCCTCCCACTTCAGCCTCCAGAGTAGTTGGGACCACAGGCGCGTATCACCATGTCTGGCTGTCTGTGTGTGTGTATTTTTGTAGAGGCAGGGTTTCGCTATGTTGCCCAGGCTGGTCTTGAACTCCTAGGCTCAAACAATCCACCTGCCTGGATCTCCCAAAAAAGTGCTAGGATTACAGGGGTCAGCCACGATGTCCAGTCCACAAGTTATCCTTGTTTCTCTGTAAGGGTTCCTAAACCATATACATATACACACATATTCACATGCATCTTATACCAACACTGTCCAGTAAGACTTTTAGCAATGATGGAATTGTTCTCTTGGTGCGGTCCAATAAGGCAGTCACTAGCCTCTTGTGGCTACTAACACTTGAAAAGTGCCTGATGTAAATGAACTACATTCTTAATTTTACTTACTTTAAATTTTAATAGCCACATGTGGCTAATGGCTATCATACTTGATAGCACAGTCCAATAATATAACATAGACAATAATAGAGACACATATCCAGTAGACGGTAGTGCATGGCCAAGGTTCCAAGCATCCTGACTTCATCTAGGGTACTTGAAACATGGGAAATAAAAATTGATTGTGTGGGGTGGAAGTCAACTATGGTATCCTAAAAGTAAGTTCTCAAGACAGCACATTTGATTTGTTAAGCAACAGGATGCCACTCTAGACTTCTAAGTCAGAGAGTGACTGATGACAGCATTATAGGACTTTTAGGAAGACATGGATATACAAATTGGAGACTTTATGACAGGGAAGGCAGTACCGGGGTAACCAAGAAAATCAAGCACCCATATCTCTTTGGAGCAAATATTCTCAACCCCAGTACTGAGTTTGATGAATCAAATAAAAAGTCCAGATGGAGCTTCCCTAGAGATAATATTGTTTGGATCTCTCATAGACCAGGAAACCAAACTGCAAATTTAAGCCCAGAGGAGATCCAGGAGGAAAATTCATGACTATAAAAAATTTTTTTAATTGCAAAATGGAAGTAATATTTAATTAAATACAAGACCTATTCGATTGTTAAATTCAGCATATATAAAAATTCCCTTTCATTTTGAGGGAATAAAACCTTTTGGGTCAATGGGAAACTTTTTGGAAACCCTAGCATGGGAAAAGGTCAACATGGGTACCTCAACCATAACAGGAGTCTGTGTTCAAAGTATCAGTTAGCTGTTCAACCACATTCCGATACTGCTTGTAAGATCAATAGAAACTAGGAAACAACCACCAGAAAGAGAAAATTAGGTGATTCATGGTCACAAGCCCTCTTCCCACTCAGGACTAGGGGGCAAACGCTCAGCAACTCAAGAGGAGAAATTAGGTGACTCATGGTCACAAGCCCTCTCCCCACACAGGACTAGGGGGCAAACACTCAGCAACTCAGAATTACTTGGGTATATAAGCCTAGGCAGCCTTAGCTAACAACGGCAACCCTCTTAGGTCCTCTTACACCTTTCCATGCTGTGGAAGCTTTTACTTTCACTTGCTCAATAAACTGCATTGCTGCTCAGTCTCTCAGTCGGTGAACACTTGTTTGGAGCTGGAACACTCACCATGGGTGTAAGACCCTCTGCTCAATTCTTCGAGCAAGGGAAGCCAAGAACCTGAGCCTGGAGCCCAAGCTGGGTATGGAAAAGGCCCTCCTCAGGGCCATCTGTAAACTGTACAGCATTAGATCCAGTTACAATTTGAAATGTTTAGGTTAGATCTTTCCCACTTTGTAAAAGTTTTCAAGATTGTGTGATGATTGTTGAGAAAACAAAGCCAACTTTAAATATAAGAAGTTATTCCTAGCCAAATAATAACAAAAGCTGTTGTAAATGGCAGGCAGGAAGATCAACATGTTGGATGTTGAAGTAAAGGATGAAATATAGCCTGGCATGAGAATAGAATCCTCAGTATAATTGCTTGTGTGACAGGTACATGGAAATATGCTGAATGTTGTTTTGTTGCTTGAAATAAACTTGCTGATAAAAATGACGTTTAGGATAATTCCCACACATGCATGCTCCAGGGAAAGAGAAAACATCAAATTTTAGTTTCTTCAGTTCCATCTAAAATGGACTATATGTTGTCTTCCTTTTTTTTTTTTTTTTTTTTGTGAGGTGGAGTTTCACTGTGTTGCCCGGGCTGGAGTGCAATAGCGTGATCTCAGCTCACTGCAACCTCCGCTTCCCGGGTTCAAGCAATTCTGCCTCAGCCTTGCGAGTAGCTGGGATTACAGGTGCCCATGACCACTCCCAGCTAATTTTTTGTATTTTTAGAAGAGATGGGCTTTCACCATGTTGGCCAGGCTGGTCTTGAACTCCTGACCTCAGGTGATCTGCCCACCTTGGCCTCCCAAAGTGCTGGGATTACAGGGGTAAGCCACCACACCCAGCCTTGTTCCATTTTGAGATAAACTTGCCTGAGGGAGGTAGTTCAAATGACATAAAATTGATTTAGTAATGTGCTTGCATAGCTGATACTAGGGATTCTGAATCCTCCACAATGAGACAGACACCAGACCTCACAATATGATGTTTTTTTGGGAGAAAATAATGCACCCGCTAGAGATGAAAATGTTTCTTGATGTCTAGTACAGTTTTTGCATGTGTATGTATACATACACATGCATGTACATACACATGCAAAAACTGTATGAGCAGGCATTACTCCAACTGTTTCATTTCTTGAGATGCACTCCAAAAAACAGTACAGGATATATCTTCTTGAGCAGTGATGCTGTGGAGAGGTGATCTGGGTAACTGTTCTTTGAATTTCCACACATACTTTACCAGGAACTCGGCATAAAGACTTGGGGTCAGTTTTATGAAGTACACCGGTTTGGAAGCATTTGAAGAGGTTTGCTTTTTCTATTCATTGTTCTGGATTCACTCTAGCTGTAATGTGATCGGCACCCACTCTCCTATGCAGTCAGCAGGTATTCTGGGACAAAAGCTCAGGTTGACTGGCAAGAAACCTTATCCTTAAAGGTTGAGTCACAGAGTACTTTACTGCAATTGCTGTTAGACTGGAGTGATCCTGAGATGCATTTGGGCATAACTTGGCATCTGGACTCAATAATTTCTAAGACCCTGAAATTGACTCACAGACAACATGCAAGTAAGTTTCTTATAATCTTTGAAGCATTTGATACCTAGTAAAACAGGCTTTGAGGAAGCTGAAATTTTTTCTATGTGTAAATGAGAAAATGGAAAGGAGTTCAGATTATAATTGCTGGGGTTTTGTTTCATTGTTTTTTTCACTGTTTAAAGGACGTGGGGGCCGGGTGCAGTGGCTCACACCTGTAATCCCAGCTCTTTGGGAGGCTGAGGTGGGTGGATCACCTAAGGTGGCCAACATGGTGAAACCCCATCTCTACTAAAAATACAAAAATTAGCCGGGCATGGTAGTGCATGCCTGTAATCCCAGCTACTTGGAGGTTGAGGCATGAGAATCACTTGAACCCAAGAGACAGGTTGCATGAGCCAAGACTGTGCCACTGTACGCCAGCCTGGGCCACAGAGTGAGACTCTGTCTCAAAAATAAATAAATAAATAAAATAAAGGACATGGATAAGTAAAGATAGGAGTTGTGATTCTCCAGTGGTTAAGAGTCAACTTTGGGGCCAGGTGTGGTGGCTCACGCCTGTAATCCCAGCACTTTGGGAGGCCCAGGTGGGAGGATCACTTGAGGTCATGAGTTCAAAACCAGCCGGGCCAACATTGCAAAACTCCATCTCTATTAAAAAAAAATACCAAAATTAGCTTGGCATGGTGGCAGACACCTGTAATCCCAGCTGCTCAGGAGGCTAAGGCAGGAGAATCGCTTGAACCCGGGAAGTGGAGGTTGCAGTGAGCTGAGATCGAGTCACTGTACTCCAGCCTGGATGAGCTTTGGAATCTGACAGATTTGAGTTCAAATCATGCCCTAATCCAACCCCTTACCCACTGTGTGATCTTGGGCAAATTACTAAGCTGCTCAGATGTTCAGCTTAATTATGAGAATAACCTATCTGAAAGGGATATTACCAGGATTAAATGAGTTAAGACACAGAAAGTGCTTATCACAATGCCTGGCACATGGCAAGTGCATAGTAGGAGATAACGGTTATTACGGGAGGCTTTATTGATCGAAGATCCAATAAATAGGGATTTAACTCATTTAATGTTCCCTGGCTCTGTTATATTAAAATTCTGTACATGGCCTTTCAGACAGAAAGTTTCCATCTGCATTGATGAGGTAGGCTAGGCTTGGTCTAGGTCTGTCTTACATCCCTAAAGAGGTGCTATGCAGATAGCAGTGATCTGTCCATATAACTGGAAATGTCAGATAGATTAGGAGACATTGTCAAAACAAACTGTGATTCAGTATTAGATTAAATTGGAAAGTCATACTAGAAGAATATAAATGTTTGATAGTAGCCAGAGTGCCATGGCTAACAAAAGCAGCTACTTCATGGAAAAAGAGCCCCTGACTTTTGTAATTGGAGAAGAAATGGATTCAAGTGCTCCCATTCAAGAAAGAACATCATGTATTTTCCTACAGATTTTTATCACAATGCTACCACTTGTTAAGTTATATCCATTTGTCTGTGTCCAATTCTTCTTTGTAATCCCAGTGTCCAAGTCAGTGCCTTGTATATAGTAAGTAAGCTTTTATCCAAACAAGCAAGAAAACAACAAACTCACGCTTTACTCAGTGTTCACTTTGTGCCAAATACTGGAATCAGCAGCACTGGAGAAGACAGAAACATATGCCTGCTGTCCAGGAGACCACAATCTAGTGGAAGAAATAGATAATAATAATATACCAAAATGAACACTTAAAATAGAGTGTACTGCTAAATGCTGTGAGAGGTCCATATAGGGCTCAGTTAGGGCAAAAACAGGAATGGAGATGAAGCTTGAATGAACACGTGTCCTTTTCTTATTTAGGTGACTTTCTGCAGACTGCGGACTCACCAGTGGTGTTTCATTCTATTTAATGTCATCCTGTTTCATGCCTTGCTTTTTGGGGCTGACTTTGTGGAGGAATACTTTCTGCATTCTTTGCCTTATATAGATATGAAAGCTCTTGAAATTAAGAATAAGGCAAGAAAATTGAACACAGAACCCCTAAGAAGTAATCTCTCCAAATATTATGTCTTGAGCCAGTCGGAAGTGTGTAAAGGGAAGAACATTTTTTTGCTGTCTCTAATCTTCAGTAGCCCAGGAAATGGAACAAGACGGGACCTCATTAGGAAAACTTGGGGCAATGTGACCAGTTTCCAAGGGCATCCCATTCTCACACTGTTTGCTTTGGGAATGCCTGTTTCAGTAACTACTCAGAAAGAGATCAACAAAGAGTCCCATACGAATAATGATATAATTGAAGGAATCTTCTTGGACAGTTATGAGAACCAAACCCTGAAGATCATTGCAATGATACAGTGGGCTGTGACTTTTTGCCCTAATGCCCTGTTCATTCTCAAGGTGGATGAAGAAATGTTTGTCAATTTACCAAGCTTGGTAGACTATCTTCTCAATCTGAAAGAACACTTAGAAGATATCTATGTAGGAAGAGTTATTCATCAGGTTACACCCAATAGAGATCCTCAGAACAGAGACTTTGTCCCTCTTAGTGAGTACCCAGAAAAATACTACCCAGATTACTGCAGTGGTGAGGCCTTTATAATGTCCCAAGATGTGGCTCGAATGATGTATGTGGTTTTCAAAGAAGTACCCATGATGGTGCCAGCTGATGTGTTTGTAGGAATTTGTGCTAAGTCCATTGGCCTTATACCCATCCACAGCTCAAGGTTTTCTGGGAAAAGACACATTAGATATAACAGATGTTGCTATAAGTTCATTTTTACATCCTCAGAAATTGCAAATGATGAAATGCCCCTGGCATGGAAGGAAATTAATGATGGAAAAGAATGTACACTGTTTGAGACATACTATGGGCTCATTTCCTGTAAACTTCTGACATACCTTGACAGCTTTAAACGTTTTCACCTGGGGACCATAAAAAACAATGCCATGTATTTTGGTGATTAGGATTTATTTAATTTTCCTTGTGAATCTATTATTTTAAAGTTCCCTTCAACCCTGTTATTAGAAAGCATCCCTTCTTCCTGTGTTTTATGTAGGTTCTCTGAATCTTTAATTTTACTTGCAAAGGTACAAAACTTTTTCTGTGCTCTGGTGTACTCAATTACTGAGATCTCATTTTAAGAAATTTAAGTTGGTATAGCATGATTCTTTTCAAAATAAAACATTTCTTTCAGAAGAAAGAACATTATGTTTCATTGTTTTGAGGTGTTTGTTTTTTTTTGAGACAGGGTCTGGCTCTGTCACCCAGACTAGAGTGCAGTGGCACGATCTTGGCTCACTGCAACCTCCGCTGCTGGGCTCAAGGGATCCTCCCACCTCAGCCTTCTAAGTAGCTGAGACTATAGGCATGTTCCATCACACCTGGCTAATTTTTTTTTTTTTCTTCGAGAAAGAGTCTCCCTCTGTCGCCCAGGCTGGAATGCAGTGGCACAATCTCAGCTCACTGCAACCTCCACCTCCTGGTTCAAGCAATTCTCCTAGCCTCAGCCTCCCAAGTAGCTGAAATTACAGGTGCCCACCACCACACTCAACTATTTTTCGTATTTTTAGTAGAGATGGGGTTTCACCATGTTGGCCAGGCTGGTCTCAAACTCCTGGCCTTAAGTGATCCACCTGCCCCAGCCTCCCAAAGTGCTGGGATTACAGGCGTGAGCTACCACACCCGGCCTAATTTTTGTATTTTTTTGTAGAGATGGGAGTTTCATTATGTTGCCCAGGCTGGTCTCGAACTCCTGGGCTCAAGTGATCCTCCTGCCTTAGCCTCCCAAAGTGTTGAGATTACAGGTGTGAGGAACTGTGCCCGATCAATATACAGTTTATTATAACTAAGTCTTTTTTATGAACTGATGAGTTAAAATTATATATATTTATGTCATACAACATGTTCTGATATATGTACATTATAGAATGGCTAAATCAAGTGATTTCCCCTGACATACTTTTGTATATTCGTATATTGTTGTTAACCATCATGACCATGATGTATGATACTCTTGAACTTACTCCTCATGTCTAACAAAAATGTTGGCTCTCTTGGCCATATCTCCCATGTTTTCCTAACCCCCAGCCTCTGGTAACCTTCATTTATTCTCAGTTTGTATGAATTTGAGTTTTGTTATACTCCACATATAAGTGAGCTCATGCACTTATTTGTCCTTCAGTGCCTGGTTTATTTCCCTTAACATAATGTACTCCAGGTTCATCCCCGTTGTTGGAAATGACAGGATTTCTTTCATTTACAAAGTGGAATATAATTTTATTGTGGATTTATAAAATGGATGGATGAACATTTTCTTTCTTTATTTATTCATGCACCGGTGGACCTAAGCTTGATGCTACTAATCTTGTGAATAAATGCTGCACTGAATGTGGGGAGTGCAGACATCTCTTTGACATACCGATTTAATATCTTTTGGATATGTGTCCAGTAGTGGAATTGCTAGATGGTATGGTAGTTCTATTTTTAATTTTGTGAGGAACCTCCATAATGGCTGTATTATTGGTTTACCATAATATATTGTGGTTTTAATTTGCATTTCCCTGATGATTAGCGGTATTGAGCATTTTTTTAAATATACCTGTTGTCCATTTGTATTTCTTCTTTTAAGAAATGTCTATTTAGTGCCTTTGGTCACTTCTAAATCACGTTATTTGGTCAGGGCACAGTGGCTCACGCCTGTAATCCCAGCACTTTGGGAACCAAGGCGGGTGGATCACCTGAGGTCGGGAGTTCGAGACCAGCCTGACCAACATGAAGAAACTCTGTTTCTACTAAAACTACAAAATTAGACCGGCATGGTGGCACATGCCTGTAGTTCCAGCTATCAGGAGGCTGAGGCAGGAGAATTGCTTGAACCCAGGAGGCGAAGGTTGCAGTGAGATGGCACCATTGCACTCCAGCCTGGGCAGCAAGAGTGAAACTCTGTCTCAAAAAAAAGAAAGAAAGAAAGAAACAGTGACAGTTTCACTTCTTCCTTTCCTATTTGGAAATATACTATATGTCTTTAATTTTTATATAAATTCTCTCTCTCTCTCCAGGCTGGAGTGCAATAGCATGAACACAGCTCACCACATTCTTGACCTCCCAGGCTCAGTAGATCCTCTTGCCTCAGCCCCCTAAGTAGCTGAGACTACAGGTGTGTACCACCTCGTTCAGCCAATTTTTGTATTTTTTTAGAGATGGGATCCTGCCATATTGCCCAGGCTTATCTTGAATTCCTAGCCTCAAGTGATCCTCCTGCCTCAGCTATTGGGGTAATGCTGGCCTCACAAAATGAGTTTGAAGGTATTCCCTTGCATATTTTGGGGGAAGAGTTTGAGAAGGATTGGTTTTCATTCTTTAAATGTTTGGTAGATGGCTTCAGCAGTGAAGCCATCAGATCCTGGGCTTTTTGTTGGTGGGAGACTTTCTATTACTGATTCAATCTCTTTACTCTGCACTGGTCTGTTCAGATGTTCCATTTCCTCATATTTTAGGATTGATAAATTGTATGTGTCCAGGAATGTATCCATTTTTTCTATATTATCCATGTTGTTGGTGTATAATTGTTCATAGTTGTCTCTTAAGATTTTTTTTTTTTTTTTTTTTTGATACGGAGTCTCACTCTTTCGCCCAGGCTGGAATCCAGCAGCACAATCTTAGTGCACTAAGTGGCACAATCACTGCAACCTCTGCCTTTCAGATTCAAATGATTCTTCTGCCTCAGCCTTCCGAGTAGCTGGGATTACAGGTGTGCGTCATTACGCCTGGCTAATGTATTTTTAGTAGAGATGGGGTTTCACCATATTGGCCAGGCTGGTCTCAAACTGCTGACCTCAAGTGATCCACCTGCCTCAGTCTCCCAAAGTGCTGGGATTACAGGTGTAAGCCACTGCACCCAGCCAGTTTGTTCTTTTACAGTTTCCTTGAGCTGAAATGTTAGGTATTTTGTGATCTTTCTTTCCTTTTGATGTAGGCATTTAGTGCCATGAACTTCCCTTTTAGAACTGCTTTTGGTGCATCTTACAAGTCTTCATTTGCCTCAAGATATTTTTTAATTTCCCTTTTAATTCGTTTGACCCAATATTTGTTCAGGAGCATATTATTTTGTTTCCACCTATTTATTCATTTTCCTTGATTCCTCCTGTTACTGATTTCTAGTTTCATGCCAATATGGTCACAAAAGATACTTAGTATGATTTCAATCTTCTTAAATTTTTAAAAACTTTACTATGAGGTAACATATGATGTATCGTGGATAATGAAATGTGTATGCTTAAGAAGAATGTGTATTCTATGGCTTTTGGATGTAATGTTCTGTATATATGTGTTAGGTCCATTTTGTCTAAAGTGTAGCTCAAGTCCAATATTTTCTTAGTGATTTTCTGTTTGAACGATCTATTGTTAAAAGTGAGGTATCGAACCCCTACTATTATTGTGTTGTAGTCTCTCTATTATAGGTTTTGCTGTGTAATTACCCTAAGGCTTACATAAAACATCTTATAACTGGCTATTTTAAGTTAACAACAACTTAATTTTAATTTTAATCTCATACTCAAACTGTATGCTTTTATTGCCCCTCCTCTCATGTTTTAAACTCTGATGCCACACTTCATACCTTTTTATAATTTGTATCCCTTAATCAGTTATTGTAGCTTTAGCTGTTTTTAAGAGTTTTGCATTTAATCTTTATACTATATACTTTAATCTTTATACTTAATACTAGAGATATAATTCATTACCCACTGCCATTGCAGAAATAGAGAATTTGGATTTGACAATGTACTTACTGTTTCCAGTGACTTTATTTTTTTAGTTTTGCATCAAGGGTGGAACCAATCCAGTGACTTTTATTCTTTCTTTCTTTTCCTTCCTTCCTTCTTTCATTCATTCTTTCTTTCTTTTCCTTCCTTCCTTCTTTCTTTCTTTCATTCGTTTCTTTTTTTGAGACGAAGTCTCACTCTGTTGCCAGGCTGGAGTGCAGTGGTGTGATCTTGGCTCACTGCAGCTTCTGCCTCCTGGGTTCAAGCAATTCTCCTGCCTCAGCCTCCTGAGTAGCTGGGACTACAGGTGTGTACCACCACACCCAGCTAATTATTGTATTTTTGGTAGAGATGAAGTTTCACAATGTTGGCCAGGATGGTCTCAATCTTTGGACTGAATGATCCACCAGCCTCTGTCTCCCAAAGTACTGGGATTACAGGTGTCAGCCACCACTCCCAGCCTTATTTTCATGTTTTTATGTTACAGCTTGGCAGTCTCTTCCTTCAGCTTGAAGAATTCCCTTTAGCATTTTTTTTTTTTTTTTGGGACGGAGTTTCGCTCTTGTTACCCAGGCTGGAGTGCAATGGCGCAATCTCGGCTCACCACAACCTCCGCCTCCTGGGTTCAGGCAATTCTCCTGCCTCAGCCTCCCGAGTAGCTGGGATTACAGGCACGTGCCACCATGCCCAGCTAATTTTTTGTATTTTTAGTAGAGACGGAGTTTCATCATGTTAACCAGGATGGTCTCGATCTGTTGACCTTGTGATCCACCCGCCTTGGCCTCCCAAAGTGCTGGGATTACAGGCTTGAGCCACTGCACCCGGCCCCCTTTAGCATTTTTTATAAGGCAGGTCTAGTGGTGATAAACTCTCAATTTTTTTCCTTTTTGAAAGATAGGATTATTTGGTATAGTATTCTTGGTTGGCAGTTTTTGTTTTTTTTTTTCTTCAGGGTATTGAATATACCATTCCATTCCTTTCTGGACTACAAGGTTTCTGATCAGAAATCTGCTGATAGTCTTATATATGTTCCATTGTATGTGACAATTTGCTTTTCCCTTGCGGCTTTCAGCACTTTAGTTTGTCTTTAACTTTTGACAATTTGATTATGCTGTATCTTGGTGTGGGTCTCTTTGGATTGATTATTTGCTGTACTTTGGGCTTCTTGGATCTGGCTTTTAATTTTCTTTCCTTGGAAAGTTTTCTGTTAGTTTCTTTATATATATTCTCTATCCCTTTCTTTCTCTTGCTCTCCTTCTGGCACATCAATAATGCATAAGTTTTTCAAATTGTTGTTGTTCCATAAATCTATTAAATTATTTATACTCTTCATTACTTTTTCTTTTTGCTCTCAGATTGAATAATTTCCAGTGACCTGTCTTCAAGGTCATTGGTCCTTTCTTCTGCTTGATCTGGTCTGCTGTCAAACCCCT